AATAAGCAATCCTGAAAAATATTTGGGGGTGCTTAACTTTTTTCCAGGTGTATAGTATGTAACATGTTTACAATAAAATCTGAATCTCCGATATTGTCATCAGTTTGCAGTTAGTACCCAATAAAATTGATATATAATTCTTGAAACATAAAAAAAATTGAAAACAAGACCATCTAAGTAAAACTATGAGACTTCTGAGCCTGTTTTGAAGAACACAGTGCTTTAAAGTTTGACTTAACAGAAGACAGATAGTCTTAAATCTGGCTCTGGATCAAGCTATTTCCATATTTAAATATTTTAATAAATTACAAGGAAATTAAAATACTGGTAAGAACTGTAGAACCAGGATTATCTCTCAAATTCCTAGGGGTTCACGAATCACTGTTTGAGAAATGCTGTTCTAGATGATCACCAAGGATAATGCCATCAGTGGATTCACTCAATCACCTACTAAGAACAGCAAGTTATTCCTAACTTCACACCGTGAGCATTGGAAGAGAAAAGTACCAAAAACATATGATGAATGGGAAATTTACACATAGTAAAATAACACCTCACAGATTTTTTGTTAATAATAAATAATAACCTCATTGCAACTTATGGAATTTTAAGTTTGTGTACTGTTTTATTTGTGAATTAGCATTGTTTAAGATACTTCACAATCCAAGAAAGGGAGAGTATTGGAAGCTATATTTTTAATGTTTGTTTCCTAGAGAGAGTTTGTCATGATGTAATGATGATGCAACATCTAATGCATTAATGATCATGTCAGTTGGTTATTCAGTTGGCCTTCTTGTTACCAATCAATTAGCAGGATAATTCTGTAAGCAAGTTTATAAATAAGTTAGGCATACACTATGTATGGAATTTCTGTTGAAATGCCATTTATGAAATTAGGTCTACACGTGAACAAGTCTGTAGCAAATGTTACTGAAAAATGGACAGAACTTCTCCTTATGAACTCATCTAATTCTAACAATAGAACATATTACAACAATACAATCTTCTAGTAGTAGTATCTCATTTAGGAAAACCAGACTCTAGCACAGTCATCAAAATTTGAAAACATACTTTTTTAAGTTTTAAAATAACTTGTATTAACATTGTCTAATTTAACTGAGGGTTATAAATTCTGTATAGAGCACATTAATTACATTTTAGGTTTACAATTTTATATTATAAATGATTTTAATTTGTAATTGTAATTTAAACTTAAAAGTGGAAGAACAATGAAATTCCAGTTGCAAGTATTAAAACTAAAATTAAAAACACAAAGTTTACGAAAACCTAAAGTATTTTCTTAGATAAAAAATATAATAAAATAAAGAAATATAAACTCATAAACCAGTAATTACTGGTACTCGACTTAGTGCAAGATGCCACGTACAAACTACAACTACAATGTACTACTACTTGTATTTGTAATGAGTAGTAAAAGAGTATTAGTATTACTATTAGTACTTGGTACTGCATGTGTAACAGAATTAAATATGATGGAAATAAACGTTAAGCTGAAAGTTCTTAATTAAAAGACACAAACATGATTAAAATATATCAGTTAGCGAATCAGCTTAACTTTATACAATCAACCATAAAAATATAATTAATCTTCAGTTTTAAAATATATATAGCACTCACTAACATTCACGACAAGGCCTAACGTTACTGAGACAGCCTGTTCAATCTTCACTGTACATCTACAATATGGAATTGCTCGTTAGTTTATAAAAGTACCGATAGGGATAAATAGACGCATTTTGCATGTATAAAACATACCTGATTAATAATGGTTGGAGACGGCTTGAATGGGTAATGAAGAAAAACTTTAATATAAGTTTAACAT